TTCTTCTGGCCTCCCAGTATCTCTGGGTCTCTGTCGTTGTCTTTAGGGTTGGTGATCGATTCGAGTGGGTCTTCTCCATTTCCTCCTGTAGGTCACCTAGGGGACATGTAAGACCTTCTTTTACTCCAGTCAAAATTCCACTTGTTACTTACCGGTCTTTAGGTATGAGATATAAGATGTAACCTGGAAATTGGTAGCATTTGAGCTTGTTATCCGTACGGTTGGCTTCCATGCTTGTTAATATTATCTATATCATAGGTATGCAGGATCTTATGCATTCGAATCTTCTTGTTTTGTGATATCCTTCCAATATTCCACTGAAGGATCTGTAGAAGTTGTGATTCGCCCTGACAAGTCAAGTTTTCTTATAATTTCGTTCCAGGCTAATCATAATAGTTTGAAGTCAACTGCCGAGTCATAGACTTTTGCCGTATGAATATACGTTGTCCAGGGTGCACCAAGTGGTGGTAAGTCTATTGCACTCTACTCTGAATGAATATATATTCGTAAATTTTCAACTACCTTGACCTGTTTCAGTCCATGCATAGTGAGAATTTGAACGTCTTTTAAATTTGCACAAAATATGCAAGTCCTACAGTTAATTAAAATCGATATCTAATTAAATCGCAATAAGATCCATAATAGTAAAATTATTCAACGCACGTTAAAAAATGGCCCATTTCTGCTTTGCAGCAAAATAGGCCAAAGTTAAAGAATCACAGTCGGGTTGGAAATTTACTTATTGCTTCAAACCAATTTTTCATAATCCGTTGCACAGATTACTCACGTCAACCATGATTTATTTACAAAGTGCCTAATTATGTTTGCCGTATTATCACTCATTTCGTTTACCAAAATTTTTGAGAAATGTGGGACACGTCATCACTTAACACGTAATCGCTTGCCTGCACGCCGTACAAACAGCGACCAATCATTAACCTCTGTATATTTAACCTTATCCGCCATCCTGATCATGATTAAGTTTCCTGAGTGTACGTGTTACTCACAATAACCCTACTGAATAAACGTCCTCCGTGCTACACGTCTGTTTCCTTTATAGCTGGGCTATGGCTTAGCTGGTTCTGGGAGTCTAGCTAGATGTTGGAGAATCTGCCACAGGGATTTCTAAGTCAGTCTGGCTTTACTAGCCTAGCAATCCGCTACAGAAAGCAGAATTACTTTGAATGATAATAATCAACTTACCTGATCTAAACAGAGCAATGTTGAGAAAACAAAGACTGTCTGCTCAGCCGAGCTCAATAGGCAGCAATCGTCACATCGTGATCCATTTCCTACCTTTATTTACGAAAATAAGCAAATGGGTAAAATGACACAAGAAACAAAGAAAAACAAATATAGGAACACAAAGAAACAGAAATCTTAAATGAATACGCAAAGATGAAAGAAGAATGGGTGTAAAAGAGAAAGCAAGTTAAATGAATGGAATGAAATGCAAGCATCAGGTATCTTCAGCAAATCTGTGTGGTTGGACGAGTTCCTGAAGTAGGTCTTCTTCCAGCGACACTCAAAGATCTGTCAGCTCGCATGTGAACAGCTGTCGCATTCCGTTGCTCCTCCACGGCCTTAACGAAGGTCTTTCCGTTAGAAAGAAGGAACGGCTGACCCTTTTCACTCTCGTATTCCCCAATCGCAGTTAATGCCTCCTTCTCGAACTTCTCCACTTCCTTCAATAGTCGCTTCTTTTCTTTTTCTGTCTTCAATAAAATTCCTCCTCGATTACTGAGAATGGAGGGATCCCTGAGTCTCTGTTCCACTTGTTGAAGGGCGTTGAAACTACTCTGGAATGCAGAAATGGACTCATAGACTTTACGGTGTTGTTGGAAAACAACTTTCAATTCCTCAATCCGCTGTTCCATATAGTCTAGTAGCTCTACTCTGCGGTCATCACTTGCATTCGATTCAAATTTCGCTAAATTCCTGCTTTCTTGATTTTCAAGACAGCAGATTCGTGCAAGATCCAGGAGTTCTGCTTTCACTGATGAAAGATAAGTTTGCATGGTCTGAAGACGCTCTTTACGGCAAGCTTCGGCTTCATTCTAAAAGATAGCAATAGACGCGAACTCATCAAACCGTTCTATCTAATCTATGGGAAACTTTAGAAGATAATGTCATTAAAATTTAGTACCTGCAGTGTTTGCAAGGAACTCGGAGTAAATCCTTCGCATGATTCAAGAAAGGCTTTACATTCTTCAGGTGGTTTTTCAAGACGTTTCCACATGCTCGCGAGATATGCTTTCAACTCTTCACAAGTACCCATTAGTCTTGCCTTTTCCTTTACCAAAGACAATCGCATCGATTTCAATTCCTGAAATTATGGAATGAAGTCAAATGAAGTTAAGTAAAAACGGATATGCTCGTTTAAGTGAGAATCCTTCTTTCTAATTTGTAACCTAATAGATCATTAACACGGTGTAAACTTCCAAAGAAGGAAAACGAAATATTTAATCCATTTTGCTCAGTATGGACAAGCGCCGGTTTCACAATAAATCGGCATTGATAGCCATATGCTTCATGATACGCTTTACTTCTAATGATGGATTTTCAGACTGGAAGCCAATAATTGCCTAAAAATGTAATGCTAATCCAAGTAAAAAGTCAAACGGTTCTTATAAGAGTGCATAAAAGAGATTTATCAATGGAAGTGCTTTTATGGCACTTGATGGGTGCGTTAAGAAAAGTACACCATAGATAGTTGTCTTTAACCGTTTATCGAATCGGCAGCTAGTGGAGTCTAGCTTCAAGGCTGCAAAGAAGGATAATCAATACGTCCCATTCCATTTGATGCCCTTACAAACTTTGTGTTGCACACGTGAATGTAACACTATGGTTTCTGAATGGAGTAGGCAGCAAATTCTTTAACGAGCAATTATTTCACTGTCTACCAATTCCAAATTTTATTATCTTTGTGATTTTAGACTCGCTCATTAATCTAAGTTAACTATTTGTGCAAAACGCTTTGAAAACAATACAGTGTTATTGTTGGCTTAACTCAAGTTGGGATACTATTTAGAGACTCTGGCATAGGAATTGACCCGCTTCAGGATTTTCTCTTATTTGATCAGTGCCATGAGCATCGATCCCTTAATTCATTTATATTTTACAACTTTCGAAACCTCTGATTTTAATTTAAGTCATTATGTAGTTTAGACGATTAGCGGATATAGACAGGTTGAGATTTCGCACTCACTTCTAGATCTGTCTCATTAGGTTGTGCACCTTTTAGCCTTTCAGCCTTTTTTCTAATCTCTTCTTCGATGTTAAATTCTTCATCACATCCATTGAGCAAATTGTGAGGAGTAGCGTCTATTCCATCGGCTTCCATGTGCAATAAAGACTTTTCTCTCTCGGTCTTTGGAACATAGGCGATTTCAGTCGAGATACGTTGAATGTCTGCCTGCAGAGCATTCAGTTGAGATACTAGAGGACCTAAAGTAGCGTTATTTTCCTCCAATACTGATTGAAGACGTAAAAGATCCTCTGTAGTTGGAATATCACTAGCTAAAAATAAATATGTTGGTATAGGTGTAAGTGATTAAAGCTTAAAGATAAGTGGCAAGAAAAGTCACCTAGTGCCAATTTCGCTTTAATTGTCCCAGTCTCATGACCTAGTTGAAGACTTGACATTATAATTTCATGGCTTAGTCGTCTGAATTCCTCCTTCCTGTTGATTTTAACTTGATCAAGTTCGGCTATCTTCTCTGTCAGGTCCTATAATTAAAATGTTGGCAATATTAAATACTAACACTCAGTAAATTCTAGTTAGGCATGACAAGATTTTGTGTACCTTCAAAAGTTGGCATGTAGTTAAACCATGTCGAGGAAGATATGGAGGAAGTCCAAGAATAGTACAGGATTCGGCAACGATTTGACGCTGTGCATCGATCTTTGCATTTAATTCAAAGAGTAACTTATTCTCCAATTTGATAAATTCATCAAAGGCTGCTCTGCAGGATTTCGTTAGTAGTGCGACTTTTTGTTCAACCTCCAAGGTACTGTAACCTAGAAGAGTATGATGGGCTTGAATTATTAATTGTTCAAAGGAGCTCCTGTTAGAATTATTGCGATAACTAGCACAAAGCAACATTAAAAGAAAGGAGACTTGTGGCAAACATATGGGTGTGGAGTGTGGGTAGTTACATTTTAGAAAGTTGGTTAGCTGAAAGGAGACGGAAGTTGAGAGAAACATAGTGGATTCGAACCTTTAAAAAGGACGCAGACTTAGGGTGCTCAGGTTGCTCATTGAAGGGAAATAGTTCTAGAACGGTCTAATTTCTTAATAAATTGGCTAATTAACAAGAGAACAATCTTCCTGCCTAACTGGAGTTAATTTGAGGTTGAATACATTCGAAGAACTGTGACTCATTAATTATAATTCCTCTGTTAGCTCAACAGGACCAAATAGTTTCGTGTTAATTGTTGCATTTTGACTTTTAGGCTCAAATAATAAACCAAAATTGCGTGGAGCTTGACAGGCTTAAATCAGCAAAAATATTCTGAAATCAAAGTTCACTGGTAATGGGTCTTCGGTCGAAGCGATTTGATCCCCTTGTCTCAGATGACAAGTGTTCTTGAGCAGTTTTGATAGTATTAAAAGGACCAGGTAATCGGAACACGGAAATCCGACTATTTTTATGGTAAATAAAATGAAATTAAACCAATAGAAATGCATGCATGACTAAGCAGGAGACATGAAGAGATCATTCAGGTTTTAAAATAGCATCGCAAAGAATGAGCTCACGCAGTAAGCCGGTAAGATCAAGTTTGCTCATCATACCTAGAGTGGTGATTTACTTAAATGCCTGACAATAAGTTATGTCAAAAAGTAAGAAATCAACTTCAGACGCTACCTATTTAAAGTACAGGGCAAAATAAATATGCCTTACTTTTGAAATTTTAAATTGTAAAATAAACAAAGTAGACGAAAAATTTCGTTTTCAATTCTCTCCTGAAAACACTTAAGAGATGGCATTTTAGTTTTTGCACTACAACATGAAAATGTAAACATCCTAGGTCCTGTTAAACTTTAATGCCAGCTTCTTCAAACGTAAATTCC